TGATATATATTATATATATATATACATACATATATATAGATATATATATATATATATATATATAATATAATATATATATATATATACATATATAATATATATATATATATCTATATATACATAATTAGATAGAATATAATATTATATATATATATATATCCATATATATTAATATATAGATATATATAGATATATATATATATATATATATACATATATATATTATATATATATGTGTGTGTGGGTGTATTTATAAATATATATGTATCACTTATCTCTAAATATACTATGCTAAATAGATTATTCTAAATATATGTAGAATACTATTGATAGTATATAATATAATATATATATAGATATATATTAGCTATATATATATAATATAATACATACATACACACAAATATATATATATATATATATATATATATATATATATATATAATATATATATATATTATATATATTTATACACATACACACACATACATATATGCGTGTGTGTGTGTGTGTCTGTAAAGCAATGAAACACGAAAGAAAAAGACAACAAGTACGAAATAAATAGTTAAACTGTGACTCTCTATTTAACGAACAAAACCAACAAATGCAGAAAAAAAACATAAAATAGAAGAAACTGAAGATTAAAATAACAATTATAAAAACAATATAACTAACTAATGCGTCACTCAAAAGAAACGATAGAAGAAAGAACATGAAACTTTCAAATTCTCGCCAACGCCGCCATTCTCCGCTAGATCAGCCGTGAACGCCAACGGCTTCCGTCTCCTTTTGTCTTTTCTGCACCGGGTTTCCTCTCTTTCACGCCTCAACTTTATCTTACGAGTACCATTCATTCTCTCTACTAATTAGGAACATCGCCAGCATGTCCACTCGCCTGAATATCATAGTGGCAGCCTGTGAGAACCAAGGGATCGGTATCAACGGCGAATTGCCATGGCGACTGAGGTGAGAATGGGACTGAAACGTTTTTATTTCTTATTTGAATACGATACGTATAAATTTAAGACGTATAAATTTAAGAGAGATTCGTGCTTCTCGCTTTCGAATTTTTCTTTCTGGTGAAATGCTGCTGTTGGTCATTTTATTCCTCTGGGATAGGGAATGGGGCAATATAGGAGCAAAGACTACTCATAGCCATAAGAATTTTGTAAGTAACGAAATACTTAATAAATAGCAATGATAGAAAGTGAGAGACAGGGAGAAAATGAAGAAAATGCTGTTGATTTGAAATAGTTCACTGAATTGTGATTTTTCTCCCATTCACATTTTGTTATAATATACAGTTTAAGCTTTGTGAAATTCAAATTTGAAGTCAAATTTGAAATATTCATCTTTATTTATAAGCCCTTAGGAGTAGGGAGAAAGTATCCTGTATATCGTGTACTGGAATATTTAAGGACATAGTAAATATTTTTTGTTTAATAACTAAATATCCGTTCTGAGGATCGTGCTTTTAGCGAACGTTTAATAGCAACTACTTAAGATTTTGATTTATTCTCTTCATATTATTATTTTTGGTTTAAATTTAACATTCCATCAAGCTCAACGATGATTTTATTGGAACTCGCCAATTTAACAGTATGATAAAAAATAGAACTATAGATGATTTGAAGAACGATGTATGGTGTATTAAAAAAAAGATTATATATATATATATATATATATATATATATATATATATATATATATATATATTTATAATTTCACGACTTTATCCGTTTCGTTCATATATTCCCGTTTACGACTAGCAGAATAGCTGTTGAAAACAAGTGCCGCCAGTGCAAATTGGAAAGCCAAGCTGCTCTCCCCGAGCGGCTGAGTCAACAAACATGGCGTCGCAAGTGACAGGAAGGTCTGCGACGCTCCTGCGTGTTTTGGTCCTTAGCGGCGCCTTCCTCCTCGCTGCGGGGGAGCGAGTGAAGAACAAGATCTACGATGAGATCCAGGGCGACATGCCGTGCTTTAAGAGGTTCAACGGCACGCATGAGATCGGGTGCACGTCTAAGTTCTTCGGGAACACGGGAGTCCTTCATGTCATCGAGGAGAAGGCCGATTTCGACTGGGTGTACGAGCACGGGCCCCACCAGCCCTACGTCCTGGCCTTCACGCCTCTGTTCCTGACGGAGGCAGTGCTGGAACGGGCCAGGGACTCGGGGAAGGTGTCGGGGGTGGTGGTGGTGGTGCCCGAGGACTTCGACCCCGAGACGCAGCTCCTGGACGGCTTCTCAGGGGAGACGGAGTGCCCCGATGACTACCTGGGCCTCTACAGCGCCTCAAGCAACCCCGACTACGCTGGCTACTGCAGGAGAAAGCCCTGGAACCCCAACGGAACATCCATGCTCTACACCTCCTGGGAATTCCCCATCTTCCTCATTACCAACCAGACCTCAGTTGACAATATTCATAGTTGTTTCGAAAAATTTAACAAGCCTGTGAATGGAATGCCCAGGGATTGGCCTTTGTGTTCCATGGAACTGAAATCCAACATGTTTGGCACAACCAATTCGGAAGTCTGCATGAGGCGGGCTTCCATAGGGCCCTTAAGCACAGACATTTCTGTGATCCACTGTATGACTATAACATTTGGGGTACACTGAAACCATGAATATAAGTGAAGAAATCCCCGAGAAGTCTGTTATTATAGTAGCAGCAAGAATGGATGCGGCAACAATGTTTGACAACATTTCTCCAGGTGCAAACTCTGCAGTATCGGGAATCGTCACCTTGATGTCAGCTGCTGCGGCAATATTTAAGCACAAGGAGGAGATAATCAATGCGAGTAACAAGAACATACTCTTCATTCTTTTCCAGGGCGAGACTTGGGGTTACATTGGGTCCTCACGTGTAGTTTGGGACATGGAGCAGGGGCAGTTTCCCTACAAAGTTAAAGATGATGTTAAAGATCAGATTGCGCAGATCAACCTCACCCACATTGACTACTTCATAGAGCTGGAGCAAGTGGGACAGGCAATGGCATCATCACAGCTGTACTTGCACACGGATCCCATTTCCAATGCCAATTCCGAAGTAAGGGAAGAAACTGACAACCTGCTTGAAGTCTTAAGAATGCTTCAGATTTAGTTGAGAAACTTAACTTAATTACGGTCAATAAGGAATTTCCCCTCCCACCTTCTTCAATCCAGAGTTTCTTGAAACGAGTAAACATCTCGGGAGTTGTCATTACAGATCATGAAGGTGAGTTTAAAAACCCATATTATGAGAGCTTCCTTGATAATTATCGCAATGTCAAGTACGAGGCATACAGTGACACAGATCTTTACCATAAGCACATCACAAATGTTGCCAGTTTATTGGCCACAGCTATCTACAGATTGGCTACTAATACCACTAAGAAGATCGAAGCTGATCCAGAACTTACAAACGAGCTCTTATATTGCTACATGAAAAACATGACCTGTAACCTTGTCCAGGAAAATGGAGGAGATATGGCAAAGTACATGGAACCCAAACCTGCCAAGCTGTATGTGAGTGTGGAGAATGGGGAAAGGGAGAGGTCTTATGTCACAATGTACTTGATGGCTTGGCTTCTGGGAGATGAGGTAAAGCGAGATCAACAGGATTGCAAGATTGAAAGCATTTACAACATGAGTCAATTTTACTACTATCCCCGCATAGGCAATGGAACATGTGTGCAGTCCACTGTGAGGATGACTGATGCCATGAGTCCTGCCTTCCTCATAGATGACTATGACTGGAAATCCGGCGAGTATTCAACCTGGACTGAGAGTGGATGGAAGTTGACTAAGGTCATGATTTTCCTGCGGCCCTCTGTCTTAGAGGAAGTTGCTGTGGTGTGTGGAGGTGTGGTATCTTTAGTACTCTCAGTGATTGTTGTTCATTTCATGAACTCGCGTGCTGATCTACTGTTTGGCTTATCAACACCACCTGCAGCTTGTTAAAACTGTGATAAATTATGTTCCTATATACATATGTATATACATATGTATGTATATATATATGTATATATATGTATGTAGGTTATTATGGATAATGAAACTATTGTGAGACTACAATGAACTGCGTGAGAAATTTTTTAAATGCTTTTTTGTTTGTCATAACTTGGATGATGAGGAAAACTGTCCTTTACATGATAGGTTGTAAATCATGTGAGCAAATAACCTCTTGTAAATACGTCATATCATGATACATTATAAGGTTTCAGCTTGGAATTCATACTGAGAGTTGATGACAAATTGTGGGAGTATTGGTCAATCTTCAAATTGCACATAATCCCCCCCCCCCCCCCCTTTAAGATGTGAGTATTTACTTATTTTGTAACTATCAGTTTTCATATTTTGCTTGTATGGAAAGCCCCCCTCTTCTCTCTTTCCAATTTAAAGACTATCAGGAAATTTTAATGGAATAGCTTAATATGAAAAGATTCTCGTATGATTTCTTTGTTACCTGCTCTATATTTATTCATCAGTTTCTTGTCTGTGTTTTATGAATCAAAGCACAAACATTATTCCATTCACATGCCATATATGATAGACATTTGTCAAGAAATTGAAATTGAAAACTTACAGAATATAAAACAATTATTGAAAATACAGTTGACATTGAATTTTCTGTGAGATAGCAGTTTCAGAGTAGAGTATTGTATTAAATAGAGGTTTTGTTTTAATAATTGATTGACTGTCTTTGTTTAGTAACAGACTTTATCCGTCTGTATTATTAAACTTTTTTTTTTTGAGAATGTGCAGAAGTTGAGTGAAAAAGAGATTGAAACAGGATCAGGGAATAGGATATATTTATCATATCTCATTGTGCCCCATAATGTCTGTCTTGTTCTCTGTCATTTCTTTTCCCCTTCCCACTATGGGAGTCAGTGATTGGTGGTATTATAGTCATATATTGGAATTCATAAGCTTTATTGCTAGCACTGATTTACTGTGAGGAAAAACTAGAGCAGATAATTATTTATGATTATGGTAATCAGAATAGTTATTTATACTACAATTTGTTGTGATGAGTCACTTATTATCTATGACTTATTATGCATATAACTTGTGTAAGAAATTGGTTAAAGGTATACATAAAGTGGTAGAAAATTATCCTCCTCATCATATGTATTTATTTATTTATTTTATTTTATTTTATTTTATTTTATTTTATTTTATTATTATTATTTATTTATTTATTTATTTGTTTATTTTTTTATTTATTCATTTTTTTTTTTCCTAAAAAATCTCTGGTGTTTCCAATGTAACTAATACATTCCATGCTTATGTTGACTGATGCATTTGATTTTTTGACAGGATATTTAACACAGGCTCATGTAGTATTGTTAAGCTAGAATAAGGTCCCAGTAACGCTCATTATGTGCTTCCTAATTTAGAAGTCCACTATGGTTCAGTGCAGGTCTTTGGTGTCTGCATAACTGCATTTTATATAAGGAAGCAATTTAAAATTCCCTATAGTAATGGTATTAATTTCAAATTACATAAGCGGGTGACTAATACATGGCACTTCTAGTGCTTGAGCTATAACAAACTCAAGCTTGTAACAGTTTAGGATGCAAAATGTGATTATCAATCTTGGACTGAACATATGAAGAAGAAATAGTATCTAGATGAATGAAATGGAATGTTTTATTATTATTGTTTATTATTATTATTTATTATTATTATTTATTCTTTTATTTTTTAATATAAATCACTGTTATTATATTCATTGTTATTATTAATGTAATTAATCTTTTTTTTTTATTATTTTGCCATGATTAATTGTCCATTGAAGTAAATAGTGGATGGTTAAACTGTATTCGAAGTCATGTTTTTTGTATATTTAGCTTTTAGATTCTTTGTGCAGGCTAGAATGAAGGAGGAATCACTGCATTTCACTGTCTGCCAGGCTCAGCCAAAGATTGTGACTAATTTTATAAACAAATAAAAATGTGATAAGTAGATTTGTCTTGTAAGCTTTGTAAATAAATTTTTGTTTTTACATAAACCCGTTTATTAACATATGGGGATATGCGAAGTGTTCTCAATGTACATAATTTCCTGCTGCTGAATGAATAATGTGGAATATGTTATAACAAGACTTGCTTTAATGAAAACTCATAATTACCTCACAAAACACAACAACTAAATGCTGTGTTATATTGATGCAATTGTCAGGAATACATACTTTATAAATATTGGTAAAGATATTTTGATAATAAGTTTAATTAGATAAATTGATTCTCATAGATTATGTTTACTGTTTTCTTTCATAGACAGTTGGTTATTCTTTATATATATACATAATTCTGTATCTCAAGCAATACATAGTATGGATTATTTTCATTTCTTCTTCTTCTTCTTCTTCTTCTTCTTTCTTCTTCTTCTTCTGCTTCTTCTTCTTCTTTTTCTTCTTCTTCTGCTTCTTCTTTTCTTCTCTGCTGCTGCTTCTTCTTTTCTTCTTCTTCTGCTGCTTCTTCTTCTAGCTTCTTCTTCTGCTTCTGCGTCTGCTTCTTCTTCTGCTTCTTCTTCTGCTGCTTCTTCTGCTGCTTCTTCTGCTGCTTCTTCTGCTGCTGCTTCTTCTGCTTCTTCTTCTGCTTCTGTGTCTGCTTCTTCTGCTTCTTCTTCTGCTTCTTCTTCTGCTGCTGCTTCTTCTGCTGCTTCTTCTGCTGCTGCTTCTGCTGCTTCTTCTGCTGCGTCTTCTGCTGCTTCTTCTGCTGCTTCTTCTTCCTCTCTCCTCCTCCCTCTTCCTCTTCCTACTCCCCCCCCCCTTTTTTATGAGCTATTCCATCATGTCTTAACCCATTGTTACAGGACATCTAACATCAAAGTGGCCTCTATTGATCTAGACAGAATGATAGTAACTCACAAATTGAAATTGTTTCTATTATAAACAATGAAATGGCTACTCGGCTGTGCATTTAGACAACCTTGATTTTACACCAACTAGTAAAAATATGATATATAAGAAGCATTAGGTATGCTTAAAAAAAAAAAAAAGGTATACCAGACCTAATATTTCAGTCCAATTGTTTACAAAACTTGAGTGATGCCCTTGGCTGAACTTCAGACTGGCACCCATGAGAATGAATATCTTGCCTACCCATAAAGTTACACTGTTGTGAGCTTAAAACAGGAACTTAGGGTCAAACCCCCTAATCCCTTGCTCATTGTTGTTATATGGAGCTTAGGAGGAGGAGACTGAAGCCTAATTTAGGGATCACCCCTACCTTGGACCTCGGCCCTCACCTCAACTAATTTTGCATGGGCTTTTCTTCTCCCTCTCCTTTCTATCTCATGCTCATCCCCTTCTTCTGTCCACTTATTCAAATTGTTAACTCATATTTACCCTTTTCACCACAGTAACGTTGCCATAATGCTGTGTGACCTTTGATGTCTGACACGTTTGTGTGTTTTGAATATGATCATTCTGGAAATCCACAAACATTGCCTTACTAAACCAAAAAACTTTCTTACCTTGGAGCTTTGCCCCCGGGCCCCACCCTATCACTATATAGATGAAAAAATAAAACAAGTAGCTACTAAACATTCAGAAGTGTCTGGTGAGCTTATGGTAGCACTGCCGCACACTCCCAATCCTTGCTTGCTGCCATATGGGGGTCTTAGGAGGTGGAGACTGGCCCAATGTAGGGGATCACCCCTGCCGTGGGCCTCAGCCTGTGTGTCAACTAATTTTGCATGGTATTTCTTCTTCCTTTTCCTTCACTTCTTCATCCTTTCTGTCCAATTATCCTAGTCATTAATTCACTTTTACCCTTTCCACCACAATACTTTAATGCTGTGTGACATTTGATGTCTGGTTCCCTGTTTGTTTTGACCTTTGACCATTCTGAAAAGTCACAACATTGCCTTGTGAATTAAAGAAAAAAAAATCTTACCCGGGGGCCTTCGCCCCCAAGCCCAACCCTATCGCTTTATTTTAATACACTGCTAATAACTGTAGGTGTTGATATGACAGAAAATTTTAATAAACAAATAGATAAATAGCACTGCCCACTTAATGTTCAAAGTAGAAGTGTTGGTACAGCTAACAATGACCTATCCAAGTTATTACTCAGGCTTAATTAAGGCAGTAGGCCAACCATGGCCAGTTTTGCCAATAGCTACTGATAGGATTAGACCTAGGGAAATGCTAAATGCCATGTTGCTGATAGGGACATCATCTTTGAGTTAAATTACTATGGTTTTCTAATAATAGTTCAAAGGGTACATATGGCACTTTCAATTAGGCTCTGTTGGAACTAACATAAAGGGCAGAAAATAAATATTACAGAATCAGTTGTCTAGATATTTATTTATAGAATCAGTTTGCACAAGTATATAACCAAGAACAGTTTATAGCATGATGGAATAAGGTTATGAGGAAGTATATTGAAATCAGTCAGAATATGCAGGAGGCCCTGTTCCTTTTGTTAGTGCTGTAGACAGATGTCATTTACTGTCCAACCTACAAGGTGATAACATTTCATATAAATTTGCTGAATATATGAAAATACTTCTCTGAATAATTCTACAATTACGTTTGTAATACAAAAACTCACTTGTGAATATACCTTTGCAAAAAATGAAAGGTAAGGAGAGGTTTGTTATAAAATGAAACAAGTTTAAATCTAAGTATATATGTCAGGAGGATAAAAATGTTTATACCACAATTTACTCAACAGTCATTTTTACAACTGTGAAATCAGTTTGAGAATAAAGCAAGGCTTCTGAGATGAAAGGTTCTCATAATTGTCATGGTCACTGCAAAAGTAAACAAAAACCATGATAGGACCAAAGTGCTTATCAAAATGAAAGTCTGTAACCGTATGATCTTCATATACTGATGTACATACAGCATTCTTAGAGCTTAACTTTCTCTGCATATTGCCTCACTATAGACTGGAAACATGTACATACAGAAATTCAGAATAAGTTTTACCCACTGAATGGGTTTCTACTTGGGAAAATAATGATGATGATCATAATATACTTTAGTAATCCTCACACTATAGTAGTATAGAGTAGTATAACAATTAATTTGCTAAGTGACATGATCGGCAAAGTTTTTTTTATTATTTATTTATTCTTTTTTTTATTCTCTGATGAAAAAGTTAAACTGCTAGACTTTCCTCCCATGTGTTTGACCCTATTTGCAGGTAAAATCAATAATCAAGCATTTATAGAAGAAATTTAACCATTTACCCTAACTTCATCCTTAACAAGATTTTCAAACTGCTGTTGATAGTTAAAAGTTTGTTGTGGGAATACAGTTATTGAATTGGAAATGTAAAAGATAATTGCTATGTTGTGAAGTTCAACAGTTATACAAGGTAATGCCGATTTTTTTTTTTTTTTTTTTCTTTAGTTTGATTTAGTTTAGTTTAGTTTTATGAGTTAGTGATAAATCGCAGTGCTTTTTTTCTTCTTAAATCCCTAATGCATTTAATATTACAATTCTTGAGATGTTTTGAAATGTTTACTTTTAATTAGTAATTTGCCTAGAAGCATTAAAAAAAGGTAGTTCTATAATTTCTACTGATTCATCAAACCAAAATCTATCCAGGGAGGAAATGAAGTACTTTAGCCGCATGACGAA